TATGGATAAAAAAACTAAAAATGGTTTGTAGATTATTATATTTACGTTCTAATAAATCTGTTATACTTTTATCACTTTTCACCTTTTGTTTTTATGCATTACATTATTATTATTCATTTTTCAGCTCTCATAACAGCAGAGGTTTAATCATTATAGCCAAGTCAAAAACCACAATTTCCACTCAAGATTTATTGGCCCTGAAACACAAGAGAATGAAATGCAAGAATGGCTGAACCCAAATAGTGATGGTGCTAATAGTGACGTGACTCTTTCAAGTAAGTGTAAAACAACACTTTTTACTTCATATGCAAAACTTTGTCAGAGAACTGAACAACACCATCAGAAGATTGTTCCATTATCACCAACCACTATTGCTACTGCTACCATGGAATAAAATAGATTTAATTGCGTTGAGCACATATGAAGAAGAGGCATGGTTGAAAGCACAATCTGCTAAATGTTACAATATTATGAATCCTCTGCTAAAAAAGCTATTCTGTATTCCAGCTTCTTTTGCATCATTGGAGCATGTATTAAGCCAGGGAGGTTTAATTATGCAACAAAATCATGCCAGACAAGGCGATGAGATGCTGTGGTCTCTTGTATATTTGAAATGCAACTGATGCGTTAACCATGATTCCTTAAATTGTGCAGTTTGTTAATACTATAATCAATTAATATGTTATATAAACTGTGAAATTAAATAAAATATAGTTGTCAGTTTTACTTTTTACATAAAATACTTAAATAGAATATGCAAACTTTACTCTTTTGTAACTATAGTATGTGGCTACTGGCCTAGCATACTGGCTTAGTCTGCTATATGTTCTTCGTCATTATTTATTGGCACTTTTTGTTTTTAGCAATACAAAAAAATCTGTTAGTTTTCTGTTATTATTAAGCTTATCTTTTGTAAACTGTAGGGTTGGGAATACCGGGATCCTGGATACCAGGATCTCGGTATTTGAAACAATTTATAATTGCTAAAATACTGATATTAAAAAAGTTGAATACCGTTATTTTAATAATTGAAATAATTTATCCATTTAAAATAATTTCACCATTCAAAAGCTTAAAAAGTTTAAAATTTTAATTGATCTTATAATTGGAAAAAAAATTCATTGTACAAAATTAATGTGGGTGTATGATATTATATTTTTTTAGTTAAACTAAAATATTATATAAAATTCCAAATGGTAAAATAAATTATACATTATAAATTAGACATTTTATTATCGTGTTTTGAACTTTTAGAAAATTTGTATTTTACACCAATATGAATATTCAAGATTTTGAGGAGCATTCCAAATCAAACAATAAAAATTCACCATGGTTTTATTTTGTAAGAGAAGAAACAGGACATTGTGCTAAATGCAAATTGTGTAAGAGAATATTAAAAACACATGGAGGTTCTACAAGCGGTCTTTATACCCATTTAAAAACAATTCATAAAATTAATTTATTAAAAAGAGATGCAGGTAGTACCAGTGTTTTAGATTTTTCAGAATTTGTACAGACATCAAAACCTTCTGTGACTATAAACAACCTTTTTAAAAGTGATAAAATAGATGATTCATTGCCATGTTATTTTAGCTAGGATGACTGCGTGTGATGGTTTATCATTCAATATTATCTGCACATCATATGATATCAGAAAATGCTAAACAGCCAGAGGCTTTTATAACATACCAAAGGATCACAAAACAGTTCACAAAATGGTCTTGAATTACAGTAAAAATATACGAGACCAAGTACCTAAAGAATTATCAAGCAGAATTGCATAATGGAAACAGATTTCCTCTAACTTTTGATGAATGGACATCGATAAGAATTAGACATTACATAAAATTAATGTCCACTCTGACAAAGAATTTTGGAATCTAGGATTTATTCGTGCTTTTGAAACAGTTCTCGCAGAATGTGTTGAGCTTGTCAATGATAGGTTAGGTGATTTTAAGCTTTCAATCAAGAATATTGTAGGTATTACCACTAATAGCGCTGCAGTTATGACAAAGGTAGGCAGGTTAATTAAAGCACATCAGCAGCTATGTTTAGGGCATAGAATTCAGTTGGCTGTTATTGGCATACTCTACAAAAAACCTAATAATGAGGATAGTCTGCATAATGAAGAAGATGCCAACGTTACATCAGTTCCTACACCCAGATTTGAAAAAGAGCATAATTCCACAGATGATGACGAATTAATTGATGAAGATTATGAAAATGAAAATGGTTTACTCATAATCTCTACTATAAAAATGATGATGATAATTCTTCTTTTCTGGTGTATCAGCAAACGTTACTATTAGTTAAAAAAGTTCGAAGAGTGGTCAAAATATTCATTATTCGCTTACAAAAAATGACAAAATCCTACAAAAACATATAAAAGAAGAGTTTGGGAAAGAATTGTCTCAGTTTTGGACTTAAAAACACGATAGAATAGTTTGATGTCTACGATAGAACGTTTTGTCAAATTGAATCAAAAAGAATCTAATAGATTTAAAATCACCAATTTTGTTTTCAG